TTTCTGCACGGAGGGAGTATTTTGACCTATAAACTTCTCTTATAATATATAGTTTATAAGAACAAAAATTTGATCATTAGAAAGTATTCTAAGTAATTCTAATGTAACTACTTTTGTAATACAAGTGACTAATTATTAATCAAATATATCAAAGTTTTAATTTTAAAATACGTTGTCCGAGTGGTTACCACGTTGCCGAGGTGTAAATTACTCGGTGACGGTTCACGGCTCGCGTTGGCTTGCTTCCCTCGTCTCGACACGCAACTGCGAAGAATCAGCCGCGCCCGCCCGCGCGTGTGTTGTGACCAACGCGCGTGCTGTGCTTGCCCAAGAAACAAAGGCGGCTACTGGTGATCACTGATCAGTTATGGCTGGAGAAGGAGCAGTGACGCACCGTCCACTGGTGCACGATCGAGACGCTTTCTCCCATGTCAGCCGCACACAATTGCCCACGGCTTTCCAGTTCCCACTGTGCGCCCCGAACCCAAAATATGGTTGCCGAAAAGCGGTGCGCGCAGGCAGTGCCAAAGCGAAAGCGCGAGCTGATCGCTGGCTCCCCGGGCGGCTGCCCCCGCTGGCGACCTCGCCGCCAGGCACACAAGACCGCAGCGCAGTGCGCGGCCGCACCTGTTCTTTTCTCCGTCGCTGAACTTTCGCCGCGCGCGCTCTGTTGGCGAGTCGAGTATTATAGTGATTGCCTCTCTGCATTATTGGTGGTGGCGGTGGATTTCAGGATTTGTCAGTGCCTGCCTTGGCGAGTAGAGTAGAGGGGGGCAGGGCGGGCGCACCGAGTGCTGTGCAGTGCGCCAGTGCGAGCGTGATGTGTCCTGCTGCATGGAAGCTTCAGAAGCGAGCTCCCCCGGATACGAGCGGGGCGCCGTGGTCTGCCCCATGTTTTTCTGCTCTTGCTTCGGTGCAGATCTGGTGGAAGACGCCTAGACTAGTGATAGGTTTTCAGTTTTGTTTGTTTCAGTGCAGATGGCAGCTGCACTTGCGGTTTGTCTGCATTTGTAACGTTTTCAGAGCGCCGGTGTCTGCACGAAAGACAACGTCACGTACACTGACCAATGTTTGCCGATTGCCATTGCCACGATGTTTTCAGATACCGTGGGCTCGTTTGACGCGAGCAGCATCAGATTCCATGAGCCCATGACCCGATCCCATGTATAGCCCTTTTCTTTTCTTTTCTTTTTTTTGCTCCCAAAAGAATAGAGTATATCCCAATCATGCTGCATAAGAACTTGTATATCGATAGCAGCCTAGCAATAGCAGTCACACAGCACGCTTGAGAACAACCGAGGAGGAGCAAAAATGCCACAAGATTTGGCGGAGAAAAGGTGACACTGAAACGCACGTACTTAAAGTCTACTTAACCTCCCATCTTGTCTACTTCACCTCCAACTATGAAATCGTCTGTTTTACTCCCTGAACTTTCTAAAACCGTCTATTTTACTCCCTGGGCGGTTTTCAGCGGCGGGTTGCTACAGTAACAGCGGTGGTTGCTACAGTTCCAGTGGTTTTGAATTTTCTTTTTTTTTATTTATTTTCGGTGAACTTTTGAAAAATCATAGTAAATCATAGAAAAATTATAAAATGAAAGATCTAATTTTGTTGGACTCCACATGAGTAGATCTACATAGTGAATATATAATACGGTATGCTTTAGTACAAAATTTTTACTGTAGCCTTAGATTAATTGGAAAATCTAATTTTGTCTGTAATTAATTAGAATAATTCATAGCTGCAGTTTCTATGGTTCAATTGTGGTGAAATTTTTATGGTACGCTAATTATTGTATGCTTGAACTATAGTAAAAATTTCGTACTCATTAGACTATGTATAACTTAGTTATAGATAAATTCTAATTAATTACAGATAAAATTGGATTTTCCAATTAATCTAAAGCTACAAAAAAAAATTGTACTAAAGCATATCGTATTATATATTCACTGTATAGATCTTGTGGAGTCCAATAAAATTAGATTTTTCAATGATTTACTATGATTTTTTAAAAATTCACCGAAAATAAATTGAAAAAAAGAAATTCAAAACCACTGTTACTGTAGCAACCCCGTTGTTTACTGTAGCAAACCGCCGCTGAAAACCGCCCAGAGGGTAAAATAGACGCTTTAGAAAGTTCAGAGGGTAAAACAGACGGTTTCATAATTGGAGGGTGAAGTAGACCAAGTATGAAAGATGAAAGGCTAAGTAGACTTTGAATGGTCAGGTCTTGTTGCGATCACGCTTCATCTTTTGCCTTTGTAAGTTTTTTTTATACGTGAATTATTGGGGTGGCGTTGCACAGTTGTGCTTGTGTCCATGGACAAGGAGAGAAAGGAGATTCGTTTGCACAGCACCTCCCATTTCAGGGCGCAGCAGCAGCAGCGCCATCGTGCTTGCTTTGCTCCAATCCGCATCATTCAGGTGCTGCATATCAGAACAGCTTCTCTGAATCTGATACTAGCTACTCCTATCCTAGGCTGCAATAATGGTGTACAATAACCACACCCTTTCGATCTGATAGGGTTGTGGTTTGAGATCCCCTACCTTTTCTCTTGATCGTCTATTCTGTTGTCGTCGTTCTACTTTTTCTCTCGATGAAAAACTGGACTTTTGGTGCTACTAGTTTCTTTCTAATATGCTTGCACTATAGTGAGCAGAAGAACTGTACTTACTGCAGACTACTCAAGGATGTGTACGGTCGTTTTCCGTTTCCAGCTGCTACTACTTAAGGTCTGTTTGGATCACTGAATTAAACATACTCACCTAGACCAGCTCAACTAGTTGTTTGTGCCTCTCAGTAGTCCATATGACTAAACTTTAGTTAGACTAGCAACAAGTCCAAGTGATCCAAACAAACCCTTAGTATAAGAACCAGAAGAATATTCTTTACCAAAAAAAAAGAACCAGAAGAATATTGCAGCATCGAATGGCACAAAAGATACAATATCTTTCGTACAAATTGGAGGCAGAATAATTTGTTTTAAATTAGTAACATGTTTAAGGAACACCCTAGCGTGCAAAAGCTCCAGAAATGATGGAGATCTGAAGGAATCTCTGGTGTTACTTTTATGAGGCTGATGGGCACCTGTCCATTGGTCCTATGGATCTAACGAGATCCATGAAAACTCCCGGCCCTGTCTGTACTCCTGTAAAATCGTCCAGAAAAATGCTGTTACGCAGTAGCAAAAAAGAAATGGCAAGAAAAAAGGAAGTTGCACTCGTCTAGCTTGATGTGAGATTTTAGTCCAATATCTCCTGGTTCTGGAAAAGCACACAAGCTACCGGTTCATATCGTTGCACCGCTGCGAAATGGCTGTTCAGCCAGGAGACGCGGGCTGGGAAGCGCGAAATTGACCTTGGAATGCAGGATCGAGCCGATAAATGTGAAGCTGGTGCCTGGTTTCGCAGCCCTATGGCATTCTCTAGTGGGCTGAAATCTTACTAGACTGCTGGAGAAGTTAGCCCACCACAAATATGGGCTTGAAATCGCTTCTCGATTCTGATGCCTTCGCATAAATGATGAGATAGACCAAGACACCAACTACGGGTCGATTCCCTCACACACACACACACAAAAAAAAAAAAAACACTACGGTTCGATCCGGCTCATCTTTGCCGGTTCCCTGCAGCATCGGGGCTTTCCGAGCTGCAGTGGTGCGGGCAACCGGAATTGAAGCCCGGTTGTATATACTTCCACATAATAAGTATTTTAAAGTAGTTTTATGTCAGTTAGGGTTAGCTTTGCTCATGACAATGCAGGTGTTGCGTTCTTGTGGGATTTCGAGCAGCAGTGAGGTATGTTTTGCTTCCTCTAATAATGGAGGGGCTTGGTGTTCGATCTGCTCCCTTGGACGAGGTTCTTCTCCGACCTATCGGTTCTGTCTAGTTGGTACTTGGTAGCGTCGTCGCTCAAACTTCCTCAGAAGGGAAGGTTTCTTCTACCCATCAGACGATGTTGCCTTATAGGTTCAGTGGTCTCAATGCATCTTGTTGGCATTGCTCGTTGTGGCTTCAAAAACGGTAATGGCCTTTAGTGGCCATACCTTGTCAACTGAGGATATGTCAACTCCGGTTCCTTCGACCTAGCATGGCATTGACGATCGGAGAGGAAGAACCAGGGATGTTGATGGATAGGACCTATGATAGCACCAATATAATTTCTTTTTATCAGGCTCTTTTATGTAACTTGTATACTCATTATAGGTATGAATGAATGAAAATCACCCCTACTAAAAAACAGAAAAAAGTACGGGTCGATCCGAGCAGTGCATAGTTACGTTTTCTGAAGAAGCAAATAGAACTATATAGGACGAATGTCAACTTACTAACAAACATGCATGAGTAGAACTGAACATGCGAAGAAATGATCAACAAGAGGGGGGAATGAAAAGGCACCTACTAAGGTTTTTTTTATCGGCCGAAAAGCATTTGACGATCTGAAATTTCCTTTCTATCCATCCAGGGATGTTGATGGATATGATAGCACCAATAAAATTTCTTTTATCAAATTTTTTTATGTAACTTCCTATACTTCATTATAGGTATGAATGAATGAAAATCACCCCTTACTCAAAAACAAAAAAACACTATCCGATATTTTATTCTTATTTTTTCTGAACAAGTGATGTTTAATAGCTTAGGAATAGTTTCAAGTCAAATTCTACGGAATTTTTTCAAAACAATTTGATTTTTTTTTTGAATTTGGTCCGATATTTCCGATATATCTTGCTTATCCTATTTATCCATGACCTCCGATAAATTTTTATTTTCGATAATGAAAACCTTAGTAGCATTTTAAAGAACCAACTACATTGTTGCTACAGACCGGTACGAAACTTAACAATGTAAAGCAGTTTTGGTTCGGCATAAGCTTCGAGTTGATGAAGCACACCAATGACACAACAAAAGGCAACGTCCAACGGGTCGATCGACTCAAGATCGCACGAACGTCTGGCGCGCTCAGCTTTCATCACTCAAGCTCGCTCCGCCTGATCTCATCAGCGGCCTCCGGACTGGAGACCGAAGAAGTCATAGAACGGCAGCGCGGGCGCCTCCTCGCTGTTGCAGTTGCCGCTCTCCAGGCCCTCCGACTCCTCGGAGACGGAAGCGGACGCCGTCGCCGTCGACGCCGACGTCAGGGCGGAGGCGCTGCTGCCAGCGGCGGCGGCGCGCCCCTTGTCGCGCCGCAGCACGAAGGTGGGCTGGAGCGGGAACAGCTCGAGCGTCTCGCGGCGGGGGCCAACGCGTTCCGCTGAACCGGCGCTGCCGTTGGCAGAATGGACGTGCGGTGCTGCGGCGGCCTGCTGCTGGAACATGGCGGCCGGGTGCTGCTGCGCCGCGGCCGTGGCCATCATCTTGTCCTGGCCGATCTCCATTCTCGGGTACTGGTACATGACTGTCACCTGCTGCTGCGGCGCCGGGTAGTAGTAGGCAGCATTTGCATGGGGCGCCTGCGGCGCAGGCATGTAGAATGCATTCCTGTACATCACTGCAGGAAACATGTGGTGATCCATTTGACACCTAGTTAGCGAACAGATTCATCGAAGCCATCTTCATGCATAGCGTAGCAAGAGACTAAACGAAACCACCAATCGGTGCTACAGATTGTACGTGGTAGTAACTTTTTTTTTCTAAATAAACAATGGGAGGAGCTAATTAATTACTGCATTCCATCAAAACCAATGCCATGCTACCAAGCATGTGATGACGATGATGACGACGATGGATTGATGGTTGAGCGAACCGACGAGACGAACACTTTCAATGGAAGCCAGATTTACCAGCCTGCGTATCTGCAAAGAATTCAATGCTACTCATACCTGGAAATGATGAGCAGACTAGACGCAATCAAACGTACAGATACACGATCATTTTTTTACGGTGAAATGTTTGCTCGTCATTACGGGTCGGCTGACAGGCATTGAATGGACAATGGGAAAAAGAAGAGCAGGCTGAGGAATGATGTGGAAGGCTGTGTCTGGCCGTTTCGGTGGCAGCTGAGCTCCGCAGGCATGGCTTTCAATTCCTTCAAACCTGGGGCAAAGCATGCACGGGGGACAGGAGCTACAAAAGGTAGCGGCAGCAGCAGCTACCATAGGCAGGCCGGCAGCGTTAAATCGTGTGACCATGACTACGAGGGTTCGCTCTGCTCCAGCATACCACACTGCTCAGATCGCGAAGATGGAGAAACAAGGGACTGGCCCTAGCTGGAGCAGTGGAGTACTACGGAGCCACACCAGGCGAAAGAGAAACAGGAAGCTGAGCAGCTGCCGTACTACTAAAAGCATACAGCACAGGCAGGTCATGCACAATGCACACGCGCACATATTTTATTGTGAGCACAAGAAGCAGGCGTGTGCATGCAACGCACGCATGCGCCGTGGATCAGCACAAATAGAGTGGACTGCTAGTGTGGCCAGTGCCGCGACGACCATGTTCGCCTCGTGTCCCTGCGCCAGTGGACCCATGGATGACCATGCACGTCAATTGCCCGGTTGTCATGCAAGCCACACGCACGCACGCTCAAAAAAGAAACCTTTGACAAGGAAACAGCCAAGAAAAAGATGGCTATTGGCGCAAGCATTATATGCAGTAGTGAGCACTGCAAACGCCACCACGTCAGCGTTGACTATCACACGCGTGCGTGAAAGCCATGATTCGGCCGGGACGGAATGGCAAGCCTTCAATCTTCTCCTTCCATTCTAAACCCTACGACAACTCACGAGCAAAACACCTTGAGGCAACAATCGATATGGATGGAAGACGATCGACGGGAAAGTAAAAATCTGGGACGCTAGCTGTTGTGCTAATAGTAAAACAAAGTACAGAGACCAATCATGAGGTGATGATAGTATACGTACCACGCGCGCCGCCGTTGTTGTTGTTGCATGCAGCGGGCGACGGAGGCGCCGGCGGCGCCGGCGACGGGACGCGGCCGTGATGGTACGGCGGCGCGGGCGGCATGGAGAGCACGGGCAGCGGCGGGGGCCGGCGGAGGAGCCTGGTGAAGTAGGCGAAGCTGTCCTGCTTCTGGCGCTGGCGCTGGCGGGCCTTGTGGTTCTGGAACCAGTAGAAGACGTTCTTTCCCTCGATGGCGCCGTGCTCCCGCAGCCTGCCCGTGATCTGCTGTATCTGCTCCGCGCTCGGGGTGCGCAGGCCGTGCTCGTACAGCCCCTCCAGTACCGCCACCTGCTCCTTGGTCGGGTTCCACCGCGCGTTCGCCAGCGCGGCCGCCGCGGTGGACGCCGGGGACAGCGGCGGGGACCCGCCCTCGTCCTGGGCGGCGTTGGCGGCGGCGGAGGAGGCTTGCTGCTGCGGCATCTCCATGGGCTCTGGATCTGTCTCTGGGGCCTGCGGCCTGCCTGCCGGCTCTTGGGGAGGAAGGAGGGGGAGGAGGAGGCGATGTGTGCGCGGCCGGCGTGGGGGCGTGCGGGCGTGCGGGGTTTTAAAGCGTGCATGAGAGTGTGAGGAGGGCGGTGGCCTGAGGCGGGGCGCGTGCTCGTGCGCTGCAACGGCAGCCGCGTTTCGGTGTGGGCTCTCGCCTTGTAGTCAAAGGCCCGGGATCGGCCTGGAGGCTGGACCCCTCTCGTGTTCCCGCACGCGCGCCTTGTAGCCATGACGTCGCGATAAGCACCGCGACGTCCGACGTACACTGCCGGCGCGTGGGTGCTGATACACGGTGCATTGATCGCGAGCGTGCACGGCACCGCGGCCAGCCAGGCGAGCGTGTACGTTTCCTGGCTTTTGACTGTGATAACAACCCTCTGCCAGCAGTAGAGGATGTGTAACGGTCACGAAGCAAAGCGTGGCCCGCCCGTGTCGATCGATCAGCTCCGAATTCCGATCGGTGCACATAACCACCGGTGTGAAGACTGCGCAACGCGGGCACTGAAAACAATGGGCTGGCCGGTGGCCGGGGCCGGGAAGGCTGTCACGCGCAACGCCGCAGGCGATCGAGCGCGCCGGAGATGGCGAGTGCGTGACTGCGTGCTCGATGGCACGAAGCTCCATCGGCGCCTCGGGAATGAAAGGAAATTCTTTGCTTGTGCCAGCACCGGGCTTTTTGTTTTTTACAGGGATTTGGTGTGCCTTGCCTGTTTCGGCAGTGTTAGGGGGCGTTTAGATATCTAAAATCTAAACTTTGGCACTATACAAAAAGAAGATTTCTTGTTATATCAAACTTACGTGTTATATGCATGGAGTACTAAATGTTGACGAAATCAAAAACTAATTGTACAGTTTGGTTGTATTTTAGCGAGACGAACGTTTTGAGCCTAATTAGTCAACGATTGAACAATTATTACAAAATACAAACGAATGCTACAGTATGCTGCACATTGTGCTGCAGTATTTCGGCGGCGCCAACTTCGAGCAACTAAACAAGGGCTTAAAAGTAAATGCGCCAGTCGAACGCCTGCTAGGCTGCTGCTGCTAGCGCCGTACAGTTTTTGCAATCCTTGTGAAAGTCTTTTCTTTATGGAATGGAAAAGCGTGTCTGGGAGCAAGACTCGGGTGAGTTGTTCCGTCGCATTTCCTTTTTTTATTTTTGTTGCTTTAATTAACTGAAGATTACTAATATAGAGAGCTTCAAAGAAAGAAAGAAACGGGCTTTTGCGTTTGATTTCACGGACAGGTTGTTGCTCGTCCAATGGAATCTACGATTTGATACAATTGTGAGGCTTGATTGAGATTCTTTTCCTCTGCATTGCGTGTCTATTGGTAACATTCTATAATCTTTCTGTTATTTGTATTGGTCTATTATTTGCATTTGTTTCGATCTTCTAGTTTAGCATACTAATTTTTAGCATTGGTTACCGAGTTTCACCTTGCTAATATACTTGCTACTCCCTTCATTTCAAATTATAAGATATTTTGAAATTTCTAGATATATATAGCTTTTTCCATATACTTATGTATTTATTATGTATCTATAAACATAATGCATATCTAAGTACATAGAAAAAATATGTATCTAGAAAATCAAAAAATCTTATGATTTGAAATAGAGAGAGTAGTAGCTAACTCTTTTTAGTATAGAATAATTATTTGGATCCAACTATCAAGGATACTAAAGTTTATTACTCTTTTCATTTCAATTTCTAAGGCCCTGTTCGGAACACTGGAATAAAAAAATATAGGAATGGGAAAGAAACACAAGAATAAGAAGTGAGTAGAGATTCAAAACAGAAGATTCAAAATGTAGGAATTTTGTGGGAAAAGTGTTTGGAATGGAGGAACCGAAAATTTCAGTTAGAACATTAATACCACTTGAACGTGAGAAATGGGGTACGGTGATGATATTTTTTTCTATTATAATAATCAGTAAAGTAGGCCTTAGACCATTTATTTGGATCCACTTTTTCTGGCGTAAGTTAGAATGACATGGTCTCCTAAATTACATTTTACCATTTATTTGCTTTATATTATATTATTTATGTATAAACTTATAATCATTGGATAGTATAATTCATTACAAATCTAATCATATAAAGTTTATATTATAATAGTTAAAAAAATATTAGCCTAATTATTAGTCAAAATTTTAAAGTTTGAATCTTCGTATGAGTGCTAGATAAAATGAAACAGAGGTAATAATGATTCGATATCTTTTTGGCTATCACAGCATATCCATTCCCCCATCATAAAAGGTCACTGCATGCTGTACGCATGGTAATCAGCTTACAAACAAAGAAGCTAATGAGCCAGGAGGCCATGGCTTTTATGGCCTCTTTAGTTTCTCCTCTAAAGTTTACTTCCTATTACATCAGATATTTGAACAAATTCATGTAGTATTAAATATAATTTTTAAAAAATAACTAATTGTACATATTGCGACTAATTTGCGAGACGAATTTTTTAAGCCTAATTAGTTTATGATTTGATAATGTTGTGTTATGGTAACATGTGCAAATGACAAATTAATTATGCTTGATAAATTTGTCTCGTGGATTACTAAAACTTTTATAATTTGTTTTATTATTACTATCCGAACAATCTCATATGACATTCAATGTAACATCCTAAACTTTACTCCCTGGATTTAATGCCATGCGTGTCATAGGCATAAACTTTAGCTAGCTCCCGCCATAGATTGAGCCCTTTTTAGTTCGTGAAATTTGGATTTTCGAACTACGTGTCCGTAAATAGTGTTCAAACATAGACTAATTAGGCTCAAAACGTTAGCTAGTAAGGCACCAAACGCCGTCTACATTTAATGGATTGAAATGGCAATATTGGCACATTTTTTGGGGGGTGGAACTAAACAAAGGCTGAAATGGCAAGGCACATTGGGAAATGGAGACAGGCCGGGCCGGGATCAGGATCAATGTGGGTGTGGTGCACTGTGTTAGCTGGGGGCATGCAGATGCATGCGACTATGCGAGGCGAGAGGCGAGAGGCGAGAGCCCGAGAGGGCAGCAGACCAGACGGTTCGGCAGGCGGATATTGAGAATCTCGCTTCCCGTTTCCCCGTGATCCGGCGTGTGATAGTGTGAGGGTGGAGCGGAGCCGAGACGTCGCCGCGCCAAGCCATTACTCCTCACAAGCCGGGCCGGGGCACTGCAAATTGGCGCTTGCATTGCCGCGTTGGGAAGTGGCACTGCCATGGCGTGGGCGTGGGCGTGGCCTGGGCGCCTGGCCGGCTAGGCGGCTAGCCCTGCCGTAGAGGTAGAGCCGGGCAGGAGGCTACCCTACCCCTACCCGCGCCTGCGCCCAATCGCCTCCGGATGGCGAAAACTTCTGTGTGCGATGCATGCAATGCACTGCATCGTTCTGACTAGATAGGGCTGGCGATCGGATTGGATTGACTTTGGTTGGCTCACGGTCACGGCAGGATCCGCGCAAAAGATTTACCTCACTTGAGGCGAGGTGAGGAAGGATCGGCATCGGCATCGCCCCTCGCCGATCCGAATTAAAAACTGCTGCGCTGCGCTGCCTGCCTCTGCCTGGCCGAGCCGGTTGGGAAACGCGACGCCGTGCCATTAGGCGATGTGAACAGCACGGGGCAGGGAAACAATCGAGCGAGCCCGCGAGCCATCGGCGGCCATGGCTTTGCTCGTATGCACGCACAGCACAGGGACCGTAAGATCCAACGCCCGTGAGCTAGACGACGCTGCAACGCGACACGACATGAGGCGTCCGAGTCAAGCATCCTGAAAATCCGGACATGTATGCAGCGCAGCGCGGTGGTGCGTGTGCCGGCCGTGGGCAACATCAGCTCGATCGGATCAAACAAAGCAGTGGAGCAGGGACCCCTTGGAGCAGATTCAGAGCAGACATTCTGAATGGGTGAGAGCAGGGACACGAGAAGCGTACGTACAACCAAGTTTTCAGTGTCCATATTTTAGTTTTGACTTCTTTGGCAATTTCGGATCATCCAAAACCACTACCACTACCAGAGGCCAGAGCGGCAGAGCCCCAGATCAAGTGTTCAAGGCAACGCTCAAACTTTAGCCCAGATCAAGTCGATGCTATAAATAAAAGGGGTCCTTGGTCCAAAGTCCAAACGGGGGAAATGGGCCTCATATATGTAGTGACTATTTGGTTCGAGGTCTGGATGACTTATTAATAAGAAATATTGTTTAGGAGTTCTTTGAAATTTTAATAAAATCTGCCTCTCTAGACAAGTAAACAAATAGTCCATGGTCAGAAGCATGTGCCCGAGAAGTTTAATAAGAGAGAATATGTTTTCTTGTGTATATAATCTTACTTATATGTTATCATTTGAGTAACAAACACAATTAAAATAAATGAAAAAATAGATTAATGTTTTTATGAATTAATATTATAATAAAATTATTTTAACATTTAACTTACTAGCAATTTATAATATAATTAAGGTATGGATACGTAAGAAAACATAGAAAGGTGTTTCGGCCACACCTATCACTGAGTAAATGCTTAGGAAAAAGAACAAGGAAAATGTAACACCCAAAATTTCAGTCTTTTGAAATAAGAAAAATTCGATTTAATTATGTTATTACGTGAGCATTGAAATATAGGAAAGAAATAATTTTTATGAAAATAAAATCAAATATAAGGTTAGTAACATGTTGATGCATACATGCTGCTGCATATTAAATTTCAGGATGATTGGTTTTGACCAAATTTGAAAAAAAAAGAATTCAAATCCATTTGAAAATACTTTTGAAAAACTCTAAAAATAAAAAGAAAAAGGTTTCTTCATTTCTCTCCCCTCCCTTTTCCATTTCGGCCCGCAGGCCTTTTTCTCCCACCGGACTGCTGGCCCATTTTCTCCCTGCGGCCCGCTCGCTCTTCCTTCTCCCGTTCTTGGGCCAGCCCAGCTCGCGCGAAGCCGCCGCACCGCGTCCCAGCTCGGCCAGGCAAATGCCGCCGCGCCTCCTTCCCTCTTCAGCTGCTGACCACCCGGCCCCGCCCGTCAGCGCGTTCCCCTTCCTCCCGCTCTCCCCGCGCTAGTCAATCGCGAGCCGCAACCGCTCCACGCCCACGTTCCACGTCGTGGGAGCGTCCTCTCCGCGCCCGGCCTCTTTAAAACGGCGCCGAGCCCTTCCCCGCGCTCCCTGCTGCTCCTTTCTCCCTCTCGCGTCGCCCGTGCCCGAGGTAACCGCCGCGTTGAGGAATCGCCGGTTCCGCCGTCCGCCCTCCGCGCGAACCACCGTCCCCGAGCCGCCTCCGCTCTGATTTTCGCCGTGGTGAGCATCGCCGTACTCTCCTCTCTCCTCCCGTGCTTTTTGTTTCTCGTTTCATGGCTTCTAGAGCCTTAGCCGCGTGCGCCGCGAGCTCTCAGCCGCCGGCCATGGCGTCCGTCGCCTCAGCCGCACCCTCCGGCCCCGTTCTTGGCCTGGACGGGTTCGCGAGAACCCCCTCCATCTCCTCGGTGCTCTCGGTTCTTCGAACCGTGGCCCGTAGGCCCCTAACCGCGCGCGCCGGTGACCTCCACGCCGCCGGCCATGGAGCTTGCCGCCGGTGTCACTGTGCCGGCCGGAACCCCCCTTCTCTTCCTTCCTCAGAGCCGATCCAAGCCGTCCATCTCCAGATCTGCGGCCAGGATTAGAAGATACCCTTTCGCATGTAAATTTGCTAAAGAGTCCCTCGCTTTCAGATGAATTGAACCCACCGTCCCTAGCGTAGTTTCCATAGTACGCTTTCTCGTTTTGAAAATGTAAAGTGCACTGTTTTAGTTCAAAATACGTTTTCAGTATTTACAGAAATGCCACTAGATTTGTTTTGCTCATAAAAACTTCGTTTTAGCTCTAAATTGACCCGTTCAAATTGCGTTAGCTTCGTAATTCCATAATCTACGTGTTAATACCACCGTTAATCATGTTTGCAACTTTTAAATTTTGTGGTTAGATTTAATTAAATAAATTGCTATAGAAAATCCCGTTTAATTCATAACTTTCGCGTTTTAGCTCCGTTTTTCGTGAACTTCGCGTTGACGTGATCGTAGCGAAACGTAGATTCTTTTTATAAACATTTTGTCTTGTTTTCTATACTGTTGGTGTACTGTTATAATTATAGGAATGTTTGCTTTGCATGAATGCTTTTGGAATGTCGTATGTTGCCGTGTTGGTCGCGTTCAGACGGTGAGGAGAACGTTGGAGACCAAGAGTTCTTCAACGACCAGCAGGACCAGCAGGAGTTTGCTAACCAAGGCAAGTATAGCATGGGATCTACCTTGATGCCTATTTACCTGTATTAATTACTCATTTGCATATGTCTAATTTTGATACCCGTAAGGACATCTTAGTAACTGATTACCCTGTTCCTTATTCTCCTACGGGTTATATGCATATGGGTAGTTGCTAGTGCTCAACATAACTGTTTATGATCTACACATTGAACAATGATTCTATGGAAAGAAAAGGTAAAAGTTGTTTTTAAACAACTGGATTATAGGGCGATGGAGCAAATGACTTTTGATCATGATGCTCTCGGCCCTTCATAAGGACTTATCTGTCGGCAAAAGCTGGGACTGACAGTGCAACCGTGAGGGTCATATGGCTCTGACTTTAGCTCAGTAATATGACATTTTCTAGCTTGTTAGAGGTTACCTTTATGGCGCAAAAGGGGCTTGCCACGTTGGGTATAGGACTGCCTCTGTTCCTATGTGTATAGCCGCGATGGATATGTGCCATAGAAAAGGGGTTCCTACATCTGCCTGCCGAGGAAACCTAGCGGCCCTAACTTGTTAGAGAAACCTATGAAATGGCTTCATATTGTACCCTGCCTGCTCACCTTGGCAGTGATATAGGAGTAATTAACCCGGGCATATGGTAATCACGACTCGCGGTGAATGTGCACCACCTCTGCAGAGAGTTACAAACTGTTATAACAGCCGTGCTCACGGTCAAGAGCGGCCCGAAAAACTCATATAATAGATGGCTACTTATAATGTTGTTTATACGAGATGATTATGATGATATTATGATGATGTTACATGACTTAATTGGATCGGATATATGATCATGTGGGTTTAAATGGGAGCTTAAGCATAACTTGACAATCACTGATGATAAAATCTTGACATACTAAAAATGCTAACAGCAGTAAACCAGTGTCATCCTTTTTGAGCCTCATGAACCCCATGTTATTTTGTTGAGTACGGAATGTACTTACGCTTGTTTACTTTCTATATTTGGATAAAAATCCCGGACGGGTAACAGATGACAACGTGTATGAGGAGTTTCCTGAGGATTATTAGGCTTGTGGTCAACCAGTTGACCGTCCTTGTGATGGAGTTCCACGAGAGAGTTATCTTTTTATCTTCCGTTGTGTGATGTAAGACTAAGTTATATTATTAATCGTGATGTAAGAGACATCGTGATGATATTTTATGTAATTTGTCAGCTTGTGTGTGTGACTGATCCCTAAACACACACGAGTTTTGTGCATTCAATTTTATCCTTAAAATTAGGTGTAACGGAAAAAGGCAAAAAAAAAAGGCCACGCCTATATCACATTACCGTAGTGATTAGCCCAGGCAGCAACGTCCAACAGTCAGACGGTCGTTTTTTTGCCCTGGCTGAGGTTGTCCTTGCCTGGCACAGACGGCTCCAACCAAATGCTCCAGAGTGCAAACCAAACAAGCCCGTAATGCATGCTGGGTTAAAGAGTAGCTGCTCGTTCTGGTGTAAATTTTGCAACCATAAACTAGGAGGGCATGTCGCTACACAACAGAGAATACAACGTAGCCCATCCTTAATTTCCCCTTAGCTTTGATTTGGCCCTACACAATAAAGAGTATATTCGTTGCTCATCCATATTTTCACCTCAGCTTTGACCCTTAGGACAGCTCCAACATTGTTAAAACAGCTAATTCATAGACTATTTTATTTAATATAAGAAAGAGAGAATGCTAAGGTACCACTTTATAAAGATCTAAACTCGCACACTTTTCTATAATTCGTATATCTATACTCATGCATTTTTCCGTACTAGCATGTTAGGTTATTCTATTTTTTTTTTATCATTTTTAAGTTCATACAAACTAGCAAGTTAGCTTTATTATTGAAGATACCCTTAAGCATAACTGTAAAGAAGAAGATGTCTAAGGCTAGGCTTGTGACCAAAGTGAAGTCACAACTAGAGGTAGTCGTACCAGCCATAACAAGAGGTGGTCGTACCAGAAGTTACGGGTGAATCACCTTCTTGTTAGAGAGAGAGATATCGCTAGATCACCTCCTTAATAGTTAGAGCTAATGCTTGTGTTTATTCTATATTTTAGTTTAACATTGTTTCACGCGCAAAACAGAAGGCACCTATATCTGAGCTAAACTTGGATATGAAAGTCTTTTTTCGTTTACAGTGGAGTAAGACAAAAGCTCAAGAAATATATCTTAGAGCATCTCTATAAAATTGTCATACTTGGAGAGATATGATTATTTTTCTTGCTCAGTAGACCCCAATAGACCTTCCTTTTTTGTTGGTCACCAATACCTCTTTAATCTCAATAAATGGGACCCCCTCCCCCACCGCCCAATAACATAGCAGCACTCCTTCCCTACATACTATGAGCCATAGCCATTGCCTCATTCCACGGCACTTTAGGTCCATGTCTACCCATGGCAACAAGCGTGACACGCCATGACATGGCACATAGCCCGCACGCTCACGCTCCTTCATGCCAGATTGCCCCGTCACCCATGGAGATCAACCTGCACGTCGTGCGGTGGGGAGACTGGTCTTGTTATGGACAGCACCAACGAGGAGGCCTATGCGCTCAAGGACTTCTGCCTTAGTGCCCTAGCGGGGACCTCAACGAGGCCATGGCCTCAAGGTGGCTAAGGATCCAACCTAGCTAGAAACGGGACGGCGCGAGAGGGTCAAGGCCCCAGCCCAAGCTCACATGGAGGAAGGAGGGCAGGAGGCGAGCTGCCAGAGCCTTAGCCCACTGGCGACAATGGCCAAGATTGAAATCGAGAGCCCACTTACGACAGCATCTAGGAATAGGTAGATCCGGCATATTGAGAGAGATTATTATTGGTGACATGCAAAAGTATATATATCTCAAAAATCTAAAATGTGATATTAGATCACCTTACTGGCGAAGTTGTATTGAGAACCTACTAGAGATGCTGTTATCACAGCAGTGAGGGGGAAATGAATTGGCATAGTAGTAATAGGAGCTGCTAAAGATAATCTTATCACGGCAGCTTTGAGGGGGAAATGAATCTTTGCTATTGTGAAAATCCCAATCTTGAGGATCGTAGTGAGCAAAAGATAACCTTACTGGACAACAGTGACACCTGAACACAATCTGATTGCAACCATTCTGACGCAAGGCGCAGAGTGCAAACCTAATAAAGATGCATCTCAGTCCACACCAGACGATGCAAATAACAAAACGAAAAATATGAGCTTGGTAAGTATATTATAACCAATTTGGTATCCCAAGCGACCGAAATAACTGAAGTTCGTCAACTACCAAGGGCAAGGTACTAGCGCTCAAAAAAAGAATCCCTGTTGTGGTATAGTGCCAAAACTTCATATATTTTTTACTCAGAACAACCATTGGGTTGTTATAGGGGCCAAAACAGTGCCAAAGCTAGAAAGATTCTATTCTCAGGAGCTACTGAAGCACTTTAACACCAAATGCAACGAAATCATGATCGTGCAAAATCTATTTCTTCTTGTCGGCAACACCACCACCACCACCACCACCAGACCTGCAAAAACCATGACAAAAAATAAAGATTATTTATGTTCGTTGAGAAATCCACAGAAGCTTCATGTTTCCAGTAGCATAATTCAGTAAAATTAAATAAGAAAGTACTCCATCTGTATTAAAATATCAAACAAGATAACTATATAATTTTTTCATCTACTTATGTTGTACTAAACGTAATTATATTTAAAACACCAATACCAAGTAGCTATCGCTAGTACATTATTTCAGATGTATGTGGTCTCAGAAGCAAACCATTGAACCCAGAGCAATGTGTTTAGACTCTATGGGCTACAGTACTGACAATCATTGGCAGATAACTGCTAATGAAAAAAAGAACACATAATCAGTCAGTTATAAGCCAGCCTGCCCTGACATGGTACCAATCTACTATCATGTTGCCCACAGATCATATCATACATTCACCCATGAATTTAACAGGTCTGCTACCACGATAGTGCCAAAGGATTCATTGCAGACTCATGACACAATACAAAGAAGTTCGCACTTACATAGTAAACTGCATCATGATGAAACAGAATGAAATAGTAAGCACAGTATAAAACAGGAAAGAGAAGGTCCCGCAACTCATCTTCCTGACGACATTGGCCATCTCCTCTCTCTTCTTCTTTGCTCTCTTGTGAGTACCAAGCTTCCTCTTAGCCACCTTGAGTGCACGCTTGTCCTTCCCAACCTTGAGAAGCTCAGTGATGCGTTTCTCATAGGGAGCAAAACCAGCAACCTCCCTAATCAAGCTTCTAACGAATGTCACCCTCTTGGTAGCTTTCTGAAATAAAAGGGCCATGACAAAGATATAAGACCATGATGCTAAAAATAAAAATAAGAAGTCATTAACAACCAAAAAACATTAAGAAAAACTAAAAGATAGCATCATGTCAAAATTCCATCAACTGATTCAGGAAGTTGCATTTAGCGAGATGTTTTAGAAACAAAACCAAAATATGACTTAGCTTCTATGTCATGTCTCGCCAATAAATATCTGCCTCCAGGACTAGCAACATGAAGTAACAAAATCCTCAGATTGCCAAAGGTGAGATGAGGCATCATGATCAGTATGAACTGTGGGGTTGCTTGTTAGTTACAGTAGTGATCCTGGTATCAATTCTAAAAATGTTTTAAAACTTTAGTTTTGCCATGCCCAAAGCAACACACCTAGGTTGACTGGCCAATTCAGATCATTCAACAGCAAACACACATTATTATGCCTCAATTTTACAACCCAAACCCATATCCATAATGAAAATAAGGTAAAACTTCTGCTTAGGAATCATGTGTTATGGTGCATTTAGTGAGAAGTTTTAGAAACAAAATCAAAATGTGACTAAGCTTCCACGTTATGTCTCACCAATTAATATCTGCCTCCAGAACTAGCAACTTGGAGTATTGAAAAATCTCCAGATTGCCAAAGGTGAGATGAGGTAAGAAACACAACAAAGCTATTTTTTTTAAAAGGACTATTCAATATAAGATGTTTCTACGTCCATAGCTTTTTCGTCCAAAAGCAGCATGCCCTGTTTGACCTAACAATTCGGATCATTCAATCGTTAAACCTCAATTACCTAATGATTAATGGTATGCCAAAAGTAACATTGATGTTCAAATGCGTAAAACCAAGCAAGTCAACCACTAGAGTATTTAATCCAGCAGAATCCACCATATCAAAATGCCAATCTCATAAAGTCAAAATAAAATTATTGCACAAAACAGTTAGCGTTCCTTTATGTCCAATACACAAATCATAACCTATAATTCAACTAAGATACATACAAGAACCACAGCGCAAAATAGCAGGAATTGGCTCCTTTAGGCTGGATTACACCCGCAATTGAGATCGCAGAGCAGTATTAAGAGTGAGTCTTAGGAATGATTCTTACCCCCTTGCGATTGGACGGGGCGAAGCGGCAGCTGTCGCTTGGTGACGACGTGTCCCTTGTTTATGCCGACGAAGAGACCTGACTTGGCCTGCGTCGGTGCCATGGCCGGTCTCGTGCTAGCTCCACTGACCTGAAACGAACGCAATCGAAGAAACCAATCGAATTAGACACAAAATGAAGCTGAGAGACTTGTAGCTTCTGGTGCAATTGGGATTGAAGGCGGCGCTTTAGGTTACCTGAGTGGGGCGCGAGCGAAACCCTACGCCGCCGGCTCAGTCTGTCGAGAAACCCTAGAGCTGGGAAGGGTCCCCGGATTATATACACGCACCCTCGTGGTCATATTCTTCTTGGGACACTAATGGGCTACGCCTTGTTGGGCTGGTTCAGCCTAGGGCCCCTTTGGATTGCGGGATTTTTTTTTCATGTTTGATTCGTTTTTCCTGGAAAAATGAATTTAACCCTATCAAATTTCTACCTAATTCCTATGAAATTCTTGCGTTTTAAAAGGGCCCTTATATATTAGTTTTTTCGCTCTCTTTATTTGGTATAATTTTTTTATTTCAATTTCGAAAGGTTTAGGCCAGTTTGGATCTAACTTTAGACAATTTTAGCTCTTGAGGCTCTAAACAGGAGATCTAAAATGTTATTTAAAGTTTAGATCACCTCACAAAAATTTTAGACCATAAATAAGAGCTAAAGTGGTCTGAAGTTTTAGTTCTTAACTTTAGCCACTAAACTTTAGAGTAGAGAACCCAAACATGTCCTTAATTGTGTCTACACTAGTAAATATGCCCGTGCGTTGCAACGGGAGGAAAAAACTATCAAATTTTAATTGAAAATTGGGATGGGATAATATATATCTATTTATTTTTACTCTTTCTAGAAAACTTAATAGCTATAATTTATTTTATATGATCACTATGATATCTGTAATATAAGGGCGTGTTTAGTGTGGCTTTGCACCAAATGCTATGTGGTCAGAGTCGGAATCAGAGTCGAAGGACTACAGACGGAGCCAATTTTTTGCGCTCCGGCTTCGGCCACCAAAATGGCTTTGACTCCGCTTATGGGAGGGAAAAAGTGCTCCTCTATGTGATATCGTTTGTTGTGGCTTCGCCTGATAGCTAGGTTAATATTGGCAATCTCTACACCTAGAAAGACTGTAATGTCCACATTCATGTTGTCGGTGCTTAGAGGACATGAGGTTTATACTAGTTCGGACAGAAAGTCCCTACGTCCAGTTCATCGCTGCTGCTCGTGTTACTAGCACTGAAAGTTTATAGTAGGGGCTATAAACAGGCGAGAGAGGGATATGTTCCAAGTCTCTAGTGAAAGGAGTGAAAGGGTGCTGAGAGCTCAGTTGCTGCTCTTGTGTGTATCTGGACCTGATCGGTTCGGGGTCGAATCCGATCGGTCCTCGATGGGTCGACCCCCCTCCATGGGATGCCCTGCTTTTCCTTTTATAGGTCAAGGGAAAGCACGGGTTATAGCGGAGGAAAAGAGAAAATTGAGAGGGAGAAGAAGTCCTTAAGGATCGTCGGGTCCTTCTCCTTCATGTGGGTCCCGCCGACCCTGTAGATGTCAACAGGGACAGCTCCACGTCGTGGCCCTATCCGTCACTGGCGCCATGCGCAGGCGTCGTCTACCGATCGTGGCGTTTCATTCCGTCGCAGCGGACGTCGTGGTGACCTGACGCGCCTGTCAGCGTTCGTACGGGGGTTAGGCAGAATAGCACCGGTACGCCCGACGTTGTTCCTGATGTGAATCCTTAGGTATGGCCCGTCGTGTTCACGGGTTAAATCGAGGCGTGCCGGTCTCTTCTTTGGTGTCAGAGTTTTGACCCAGGCCCATATGCTTGGACCTTGAGTGGTTGGCAGCGGTATGGGTCTCCGTCGGGCGAGATAAAGCCTGCGACCTCGAGGTCGGTGAAAGCTCTAGTTTGGTTTTGGTGAATTGATGAAACCCTAAGTGCTAACCTAGTTTATCAAGTGATCATGAGATAGGTAGCACACTCTAAGTGGTGAAGCAAATGAAGATCATAGCATGATAAAGATGATGGCATGGTGATGATCAAGTGCTTCAACTTAGAAAGAAGAAGGAGAAAAACAAAAAGCTCAAGGCAAAGGTATAATTTGTAGGAGCTATTTTGTTTTGGTGATCAAGACACTTAGAGAGTGTGATCACATTTAGGTTTGATAGCCGTACTATTAAGAGGGGTGAAACTCGTATCAGAATGCGGTTATCAAAATGCCACTAGATGCTCTAACTCATTGCATATGCATTTAGGATCTAGTGGAGTGCTAACACCTTTGAAAATGTTTGTGAAAATATGCTAACACATGTGCACAAGGTGATACACTTGGTGGTTGGCACATTTGATCAAGGGTGGTGAAGTTTGGGTGCAAGGGTAAGAAACTCCACCGGCGGAGTGTCCGCCCGTAGAGTGCGGATAGTCCGACGGTGCCACCAGCGCCCTAGACAAAAAAGACAGATGTCACTGTGAGTGACCGGACGCTGGCCTCGGTTGGACCAGAGCGTTCGGTCAGTGGTAGCAGAGGACTTGCATTTCGGTCTCATGACCGGACGCTGGGTCGCTCAGCGACCGGACGCTAGCAGGGTGCGTCCGGTCAGTGCTGACGTAGGGCACACAGAGGAGACACTGTGTGATCGGACGCTGGCTGTGTCCGGTCAAGCATGACCGGACGCGTCCGGTCGGCAAAAACACATTTTGGACCCTTACTGTAAACGAATGGACGCTGAGGGTCTAGCGTCCGATCAGCTCTGTTGGAGCGTCCGGTCAACATTTCGACCGTTGAGATCAAACGATCACAGTTGAACGCAGGAGACATGTGGCCACCATCGGGCGACCAGACGCTGAGGAGCAGCGTCCGGTCAGTAGGACCGGAGCGTCCGGTCACCCCGATCAGTACCCAGTGAAGGGGTACAACGGCTCTATTTCGTGGGGGGCTTCTATTTAAACCCTATGGCCGGCTCAAGCTCACTCTCTTGGCCATTTTCATTGACATAGCAACCTTGTGAGCTTAGCCAAAGCCCTCCCACTCATTTCCATCATAGATTAAACATCTTTATGAGATTGGGAGTGATCCAAGTGCATTGCTTGAGTGTTTGCATCTAGAGGCACTTGGTGTTCGTATTTCGCTGTGGATTTCGTTTGTTACTCTTGGTGGTTGCCGCCACCTAGACGACTTGGAGCAGCAAGGATTGTTGAGCGGAGGGTGGTGATTGTCTCTGGCTCCGATCGTGGTGATTGTGAGGGGTTCTTGATCTTTCCCCGGTGGAGCGTCAAAAGGTACTCTAGTGGATTGCTTGTGGCTTGTGTGATCCTCATCTTGTGTTGGTTGTGCGGCACCCTATTGAGGGTTTGGCGTGTGATGCCAATTAGCGCGTGAACCTCCAAGTGAGTGAATCGCCACAACGAGGACTAGCTTGCCGGCAAGCAAGTGAACCTCGGTAAAAAATCATTGTGTTTATCATTGATTCCGAGGTGATTGGTCTTCATTGTTATCCACACTTGTGATTGATTGGTTCATACATCTACACGGTGGTATAACCTTCTTGCCTACTCATTACATTACAGCAAACTAGTTGTCAAGCTCTTTAGTGTAACTAGTTGTGAGAGCTTGTTAGTTTGGTTAGTGTGGCTCTTTAGTTAGTTTTTGAGAGCACACTAACTTAGTATAGTGATATAGTTTTTGTGTGGATATACTTCATCTAAACTAGAATTGTGGTAGGTGGCTTGCATTTTGGTAGGCTAGTGCATAACTCGCTTCGCCTCATAATTGTCTAATCCTTTTGTTAAGTGTTGTTGTAGAAATTTTATTAGGCTATTCACCCCCCCTCTAGCCATTAGGACCTTTTAGTCGGGCGGTATAAATTAATGCACACAGAATAATCCGCAAGCGCATGAATATTATACCGATGTAGCACTTCACCGGGAGTATCTAGTTTTATATTGAACTCAAGGAAACGTGTGTGAGAATAACCAAATCTAACTTATTCCAACTTCACAATCAAGGCTAGATAATAGGAGCGTAGAGGAGACTGCTAAGGTCTTCTAGTTCTAACTTCAGTAAGCTTTGTCTTCTATTGTTCAATTCTGGGGATATTAATAGGAAAAACACAGGCAGAGTATGTTTCCTATAGCAACAAAGTCCTACTAGGCCTACTAACGGGAGGTGGACTACAAAGGATTCAACGAGGCTATAAGAGTCACCCTCGCGAGCTACCACCGATCCGAAAAATAGGGTACATCCACGAGTAACCGAGTCTATGCACCACGCTTACACTACGAATACTACTTTAACCCAGGAGCTACAAGAATTAAAGTACTCAAAAGAGGGTCGCAAACCTAAAGAACAATATGAACAAGATGCTTACTTGAATTAGAAGTCGATTACCAGAGAAATCTTAGAAGCAAGCTCAAGAAGAACTTGATTTTGCCAGGGTACAAGCCATGGAGAGAGCATCGATAGGCCAGGACTCCTCCAAACTCTTCCCTCTCACTCTATCTCACTATCTCTAAAACCAGACTAGATCCTATTGAGGACTAATCTTCTCTTGATTGCTAGCTCTGATCCTGGTGGACATATGGATTAGGGTTTCTGACTTCTTAGCTCTTAGGATCAAATGAAACATTCCCTGAAGGGCGGCGCAGGCTGGTATATATAGCCCGGAGCGTCCAACGTGAGCCATTGGATCAAACTAACTTAAAGAACGGCGAAGATGCAATCCTTAAGGCGGTGAAGAACCGACATAATAATGAGGCTGATAGGTGGGACCCACAGGGGCTGGGCGGCCCCTCATGTTAGAGACACATGTCCTGCTTCGGTCATTCGCCTTCTGGAGTCTTCTAGAGTCTTCCCACGTCGATTACGCAACGGAATTCCATGATTTCTTTTTACTAATAGGTCCTCCTTGGTGGTTTTTTATTTAATCCTACTAAAAACATAGATTCACCAAACCTCATGGAATTTGTCAGTTTAAACCCCTAAGTCTACATTGATGATCTATTTTAGCCATTTATACAAGTTATATTGATGGTTTCGTGATGAATGTTAACTACCGTCAACAACATGTCTGTAG